ACAGGGAGGTAAAACCATCCAGTTAATGCGCTGGCACTCAAAACCCACTCAAATTGCAGAAGTATTCCTGGAGCAAAAAGCTAGACGCAGCAATACAGGCAAAGAGAAAAGGGAAGGGAAGACACACATGCGCAGACCTCACAGTTGCATTTTGTACAGCGTTTGCCCATTTAACTCACTAGCAGGAAACAAATTTACTCTTGTCTTCGTAAACCAGGCAAAGCACTTCCAAGAACTTTTCACAGGAGGGACTGCATCCCAGCAAACATGCCACCCCCTCCTCCGTGTGCAATAACATTGCTTGCAGTGCACCCTAGGCAAAAAAATAATAGCTCTTTTGCTGGGAGAAAAGGAAGGATAATGGTTACTTAGAAAGTGCTCCAGACAAGCTGTCAGGTTGAATTCAGAGAACTGGAGTCTACTCTGGGACAGCGCTGGCTCAGGGTGATCCCTTGTGAGTTGGGTTTCCTGCCTGCTACAGCTTAAAGACAACGATTCTTTGTTCCCAGTTTTTCTGGTGAAAAAACACACGCCTGCCTCCGAAGAGGGTCAGGGAGAAAGCAGACAAAACACTAACTCTGGAATTTCAAAGGAAAACAATTAAAAAAAAAAGAAAGGGAAAAAGGAAAAATCCGAGAGTGCTTGCTACTGTCTCTCCTGAAATCATAAATCCCCGAGTTGGCCACACAGTTGAAGCACCAAAAAAGCCTCCCCTTTTTCTGCTGCGGAGCTAAAAATGGGATATTTCATCACCAGGCACACAAATATCATCGACAAATGTTTTAGCATGTACAGACGGTGCAGAGGGCACAAAGCTGAGGCTGCTTTTTCTCTGCCACCACCGAGACTGGAGGGTTTGTAACCTTTGCTGCAAACCTGAGGCCTTGCTGACACACTCGAAAGCAGGATTCGCTGGAACTGGTCAGTATTTTTCACACGACAACCTTTCAGACCTGAAAAATGGCCTTTTCAAGAGAAGCATTTTAGGCAGGAATTTGAGACTGCTTCCCTCTGGGAACCACGCTTACACGACTGCGGTGCCTGTAGTCACTTTGCCCCACTCTTTCTTCAGTCCCCCCAGATTCTTGAGCCTGTCACTCGAAATTGTCACTGAATTTGACAAGATGATGGGGTTTAAAGAGTTCACACCAATTGAAAGGAAAAGGCTGGGGAAAGAGGGAGAGAGATTGTGGCCCCGACGGCAAGAAAAGCAGCTGCACAGCCTCATGTTTTGCTTGGTACCAGGGAATCTGTGTGTGAGATCTTCGTAATGCTCCAACATCAGGAAACTTCCTCAGGGGCTCATAAGAACACAGGCACAAACCCACGGGAAACCATGCTGCGTGAGTTTCAGAGCTCCCCAATTTGTTTATCTACTTAAATTTGCTAACAACCAAAGAAAACCTAGAAGCAAACGCACCTTATACCCAAACATCCTCATTGTTCACACAAACACTTCTATAACACAAATGTAAACAGGGGATAGCCACAGACTAAATCCTTCACATTCATTTCCTACATCCATATTCATGTGCTCACATCCAAATTTCCTCCCTCTTTGAAAATGCGGGCAGCACATCAGTTTTTCCTGTGTGCTGCTTGAATTTAGGTTGGATTTATGAGACTTTGGGCTAGTGCTGGTTTACCACGCTTCTCAGCCTTAGGCTGAGCCTGGCGTAGGGAGGACAGTGCTGGAGGAGTTATGCAGACCCCAACATACTTAACAGTAAGCACTGGACTTTAAAAATGCCTTGGATTGAGGCCAGAATGCTCACAGCCATGCGGGACACAGCACTTTGGCCTCCTAAATGTTGTATGTGAATATACTTTCATTTCCCTCTGGAAACCTACTTAAATGACACCATTCTGAAAGCGAGCAATTTAAGATCCCCCTGGACTTGGGCAGATCATGTGGGCTCAGATTCTTCTCTCATGCCTCCAGTACCTACAGTAGGTCAGTCATTGCTCCAAACAGTCACGGAAAATGAAACCGACCATCTCGGCAGTAGAGCGCTGGGAGCGGGACACAAATCTTTCCATTCAGCAACAAGAGCGACCTCGTTTCATTGCCCAGAAAATGGTTCCCTGGCCAAAAAATCCTGGTGATTTTCATTAGAGCAATTTCTTTCTCAAAGGCAGCTGAAGACAATTTGTACCAATGACGCTAAATACCATACTTTGGAGTGTTTATGAGGCTGAGAAGCAAAGAAGCTCATGCAGCAAGAGTCCTTTGAACACCACAAGGTTTCTACCTACCTGATCCTTTGTGCACCAGCTGTGTAAGTTTACGGTATCTGTTTCTGCTATGAAAGCAGGGTTTTGCCACGTAGGTTCCGTTTTACAGTGTGCAGATGGAATACGTGGTCTAAAGCCTAGTGGAAGCGTATGCAAAAGCGTGCCTGGAATTTGCACAAGCAGGTTATTTGCATTAGCTGTGTGAGCTTAGAGAACGTGCAAGAAGAATTATTGGGGGAGTGAAGAAAACAGTATTTTTTGTCCTATCTCTGACATGTACTATTTCATCACCTCCTCCTGCTGCTTTGGAATCCTCAGGGGAAGGTGGTTAGAGAAAGGTTGTTTCTCCGGTTTCATTCACAGGCATAGAGAGAAGAAATATTTACAGTGGATTCAAGATGTATTAACATAAAGAAAAATGTTTCATCTTTCGAGAAGTTAGGAAGACAGAAAATACTTATTAAGAAAAAAAAAATAATCACTATTTTTAAGCTGAAATTCCTTTTCCAAAAGAATATCATCATCTTGAAACAAGCCCACTAAAAAGTCCTAAAAGGAAGCAAGGAAAATCGTGTTCCCTAACAGGCTGGACCAAGGCTGAGGAATTCTAAGTTCAGTTTTATGTCCATCACAAGTTTCTTCTGTAATATTGGACAAGACACTTCACTCTGTTCCCCCAATTCCTTATCTATCAGCCTGTCATGTTCACATGTCTCTTATCCTGTCATCTTATCTCACAAATAAGATTTGGAGCACGAATCAGTTGCGGAAGGTTGAAATGGCTTGGTTTATCCTAGAACATGAGTGAATGCAGAGGACATTTCTGCGGTGTAGGAAGAACTGGAAAAGGAATAGATGGGATTTCAACATTTCTATGCTAGTTCTTAATTTTTATTTGACTGTCCCATGGGTGTGTTTTGTCCTTTATTGACACATGATGAAAGTACCATGTAAAGTTAAAAACGCCTGGCTGACAGAAATCAAATGCAAACTGCTGTCAGCTGCACTAAGGAAACACACTTGAGGGCAGTAAAAACAGAGGGGGAGGAACGTTTTGCTTTCTCCCTGCGTGATTCTAGGCCCAACTTGCAAAGATAACGGGTGTAGGAAACACAGAGGAGTGCAATTTTACACAGAGCATTTCTCTTTAATAAAAAAAATCTCAGCTTTCTTCCCTTTATTTTTAGCAACCACCTGGCCTGAGACAGAAAGAGCAGAGTCTTGGATTTGTCTGTATGCTTGGGGGGGGGAATTGGGGAGGAACACGTGCATGTGTGTCTGCTTTATTCAAATAGAAGCAAGCCTAGCTTTTAGTAATTTTAAATAGATGACTCTTAGCGTCAAAGGAGTGAGGCACAGAAAAGCCTGAACGGCTTTGTGTCTGTAATGTACCATGTTTTAGCAACTAATGCCTGTCTCGTGAAGAGAGAACAGCATGCCAGGGAACAGACAGCTCAAGTGGATAGTTACAGGCTGGACAAAAGAAGCTGCTCTAAAAACCAGTGTTGATATTGTGCCCAGCGTGCAAGACAGATGTTGGAGATAAAACGCAGCGTGGTGCAATGAGAAAGAAGTGCTGGCTCTCTCCAGCTACTTAAATAAAAGACTTTCTGCCTTTCCTCACTACTCTTTGAAATGCAAACTCATGGCTCATCAATGAAGCCATGTTCTGGAAAGCATAGAAGTATTTATATATGAGGTGAGGAAGCTGCCTCAGCACGAGAGCAGACTGATTCTAGGTGGGTTATCTCATATGGCAGCCCTGAGATTTCCCACTTTTCCCAGAAGCTTTTCAAATGGAGGAGCTGAACACAATTCAGTGAATGAAGCCAATGTTCCTGCAGTTACCCAAAGGGAATGGAAGACCAAACTCAAGGCTCCTGGTCCTACACAGTACGTTACAGAACACAGCATTGGATTCTTGGTCTTTTACACCCTATTTGGCCTTAAGCAATTCAACAGTCCAACTGTGACTTAGTGTCTTATGTAGGTAAGGGATGTGCATCATGCCCCTCACACCAACTCTCATCATTTTATCCTGACTGAAAAAAGACTTTTTCATTAAAAATAAGGAGAAGGATTGTAGCAGCAGAGGAAAACCTGAAAATCCTGACTGAAGGATATACAAACAACTCAAAAGCCTAAAGGAGCCTCAAGTGTGAAATTAACTGTATAACTTCAGGATTTCTCAGCTCTATCTACATGATCAGAATTTCTAATAGAGTAAAAAATTGGAGCTATTTGAAAAAGACAGTCAAAATATTCCAAAATGAAAGTGTCAGAAAGATCACTTCAGTCTTCCTTGCTGGGAGAAACTGGCTGCTAGATTCATGAATGGATTTTGGAAGACCTGAGTGGCCTTTACTTCGTAATGGAATTTAGCATGAGAAAATTATATCCTTTCAACTATGAACTTAATCAGAGAGAAATAGTGTCTCAGCTTTTGCTATGTACCTGAGGTTTCAAACTGGTTCACATAAAGAACAGAAAATATGCCATCAGCTCACCAACTCAATAATAGACATGTGTGAAAGGAACAGAACTATGTTTTATGCCACAATGTTCGCTGGCCAAGCAGGGATGTGATTTTCAGCATGGACAGGGCTTCAAATTGTGAATTACTCTATTTTAACCATGCTGTGCATGCATAGCAGATCAGAACACTTTCATGCCAAGATGATACAAAAAGTCTAGTTTTAACCCAGTCAAAAACATTGTGAGAGAGAGCACAGGAAGCCAGGACATGTATATTCAAAAAGACTGACCTTCTTTGGTGGCAAGACGTGAGGAAGCTTCTGTGTGGGATGGAGTATTATAGGCGAGCAGTGAGCTACCTGTAATGAAAAGAAAAGGAGTTACTGCAGTTTGAATGCACTCTGCCAGCAGGGAACCGTGCAGGCAGGCAGAAAGTGCTATCACTAGGATCTAAAGACTAAGTTGTTCAGACAATTAGGCAAGATGGATATGAAATTCCTTTAAAAGCTTTCTAGCTGTAATGCCACACAAGTGCTAAAACAAAAGACACTTCCCTCCTTCACTGAGTGCCTTGATGTCCTCTGTTGAAAACTGATAAAGAAGGCTGAGGCTGTATAGTACATTTATACAGGTACAATATCTATCACAGCAGAGCCTCTACAAACTGTATTATAGGAAAAGGAAGAAGCTTTTCTTTCTCTGGCTGTGATAAAGAATTCTCCTGTTTGAGGAACACGCAGTAGAAGTGACATGAATTGCACTGTCAGGATCTGACCATTTTTAGAGTGTCACATGCTTGGTTTTGGGCCAACAGCTGCAAAACCCTCACTGATACTCCAGCATCTCCCATGTCTTGTGCAATTTGAAAGTAGCTTTGTTGGTTCAGAGTGGCCTTTCCATCCAGCCCCACTTGAAACAAAACTGTTCTAGAGGAGCACAAAAAAGAACCCATTGGAAGGTCTTTGTTTTGCACAGTCTGTGGTGGAAGTGTTCCTTTCTAAGCATTTTCCTTTGGTTCTCCTTCAAACTCTTTGGGAAATGGAGGAAGAGGCCCCATAAGCTCTTGGAAGCCAGCATGTAATACACATTTCATGGTTGTCTAGTTATATGTGCTTACCCTACATAATCTAGGCTCACCTTTCCTGCAGCTCTTTGGAACAGTTTCTACTGCGTCGGGCAGCAACATTCCCAACAGGGCTGAGGCTCTTCCTTGTGGGGACTGGATGTGTGAACTGGAGCAGGGTACTGCTCTTGCTGTGGGCTGGTATGAGGGAAGTGTTTTTACAGACACTTTCTGCTATTCATACCTATAGAACCCTCTACTCAGTGAGATTCTGTCCCATTTAAGGTACTCAGTCCTAAGCCACACAGAGCAAACAGCATAGACAGTATGTAATGCTGTGCTGCCCCTGAGCATCCCCAGATTCTTTGGCAGGGCTAATACCTCTTTTGCAGGTACTGTAACACTAACTGATTAGGATCCTGTGGCTGAGCTGTGCAGCCTCCACATTCCTCTAATCCACATGATCCCAAATAACACTGACCTCACTTGCCCCTCAGTAGTATTCACAGTATGTCTCGCTTTCCTGTGAGAGCTGAGGATTAGGCAGTTCACTGCCAGAAGTACTAGTCAGTTGCAGGTGCTGGATCTTACTGGCTCTGTGTTCCTATGGATTTATTTTCTTCCCCAAATGCAAACAAAGCCAAAGACGTGTGCAAGCCACCTTGTACGCAGAGGTAGAAGGTGTTGGAAAACAAAGCCTCCTCACGGGGAGGGGAGGATGGATGCTACCAGATGCTGCAAGACAGGGGATGTTTCAAAACAGCAGGATGGATAACATGGTAAACTGGGAGGTAAAGAGTTCAAAGGGATCCCAAGGGTACCTTTGGCTATGAAAGCTGCAGACAGCCAAAGTGACTGTCTTAAATAATTAGAGAGACTGGCTGGGCTTTTGCTGCTGTGGGAGGAACTAAAACAGCTTTGTCCACCTAACTCAGGTTTTCATCAGATGGTTTCTGGCTTTGGCATTTCTTTCTTGAGTATCTGTGGGGAAACTCCTGTCCACCACTCTCTGCTTTTCAGGTTATTTGAAGCAGATCCTGAACACAACGCCCAGCCTAGCTTGACCCTGCCAGACAGGGAAGTGCTGGGGAATTCAAAAACAGGGTTTTCTATGACTAAATAGGCTGCAAATGCCTTGTTGCACAGACTGGCTGAGGAGAGGGGGGTGGGGTGATGAATAGCACCGAACAAGTCGGTAGGATCAACCTATAGCTACTTTACACCAAGAAAATGCAGCCCAGGCCACTGGAAAGGGACGGCGCCTCCCCTAGTTTAATTGCTAAAAGTTCTCACCTTTGCCCGACAGTCTGAGGTTTCTGGTGGGAACACCACAGAAAAGGAAATGTGTTTCCTATTAAGGGTTTTCAATGAAGAAGGAAAAGAGAGAAAGCCAGAGACACAGATGAGGACAGAGAGAGGCCGACAGACAGACAGACAGAGGCCAGGCTGCTCCCTGCCTTACTCATTGGGCAGAGCTCTGGGGCAATGAAGTTTCGGTTTGTTCTTCTTCCCCTTACCCCTCAGTCTGAGGGTCAGTGCCACCTCAGATTAAATCAGCTCCTTCTGGAAACACTGGTATTATTAATACAGCACAAGACTATTCTCCTGTAATTAATATCAGGAATATTATATCTCACGGCTCCCCCGGACCATTTCCTTTCTTCTCTCCTTTCCTTTGCATTAATAAAAGAGGAAGATGGAAAAGGACTGAAAACAGAGCTGAAGAGTTTTTTCCCCCACAAAGGCTTCCTTTTCACAAGGCAGCTCATCCTCCCAAGATGCAGGAAGACCTTGGTTTCACAATCTTCAAGTCTATTTAATCTGGAAGTCTTTTTTAGCCTCACCTTCTGAAGGCCATGTGGCTTTCGCTCCACATCTTCTGGTAGAATCAGGGTCTGCTGCATTTAGCAGTACAGTTTTGTTTGGCATTAATATATGGCTCGAAACCACAAAGCAGTTTTCTGCTTCTCGCCACAGTCTCATTCTTTCCCCTTCAGGCTCTTTTCATTCGTACACACCACACACAACCGACCCCCCATCACTAGAATGGAAAAGGACAGGAGGTGACAGCTCAGGCTTCTTTTGATGTTCGTCCCAAACATAGCATGAAAACATTCAAATCTCCCTTCCCACTGCCCACTGGCCGGCTGGAGAGGATTCACCAGGCAGACTGTGTTTGAAAAAGACACCAGCACAGCAGTCAGTCAGTCTGGAGTCTGAAGATGCAGGGGGATGGACAAGAAGAAAAAGCCAATGTATGGCTTCACAGTTTCAGAGAAGAAACTGGAAGAAACACTTGAAGATGACTGTTTGGGAGGGTGGACAGTAAGTTCCCTGGAAAAAGAAACAATGGGGTGTGTTTTGAGATCCTCCAAAGGACAGAGCATGCTGCAGAACTGGGTTCTGCAAGCCTGAAATCTACACAACAGAGACGTCTGTATTCCCGAGTGCTTCAATAGGTCACGGAAACAGGAAACAACCGCACGATTCTGATCCAGACCTAAGTTTTGCCTGAAGACCAAAGGTGCTGTGCTATGAGTTTGGTTTAGTATTGACTGTATTAAACAGCTCGCCTGAACCTTCCATCTCCAAACCTAAACTTGAGCCTTTGTTGAGGTCTTGCAGATGTTACTGGTGTAGTTTGTCAATCTGGACTCAGACGTGCCAAAATAATGTACTTCATGGGTAGTTTTAAGAATGCTTTCACCCTGATCAGGAGTGTAAAATGCTGAAAACCTTCTGAGGAAGCTGATTTTGAGGGGGTCTCTCCTTGCCTGGCTAGCCAACAGGCTCAGAAAGTTCAGAGCAGATTTGTTTCTTGGAAAACCAACACCGAAGTTGAGGATTCACTAGTCATCACAGCTCCATCTTAACATCCTGAGAGGATGAACACCTTTCAAGACAGAGACTGGGCAGCTGGAATCCAGCCTATAGATCTGCAGCTCCCCAAAGTTCTCCTGTGTTTTCTTGCCATGATGTGTTCTCCCTACTAAGCAGGAGCAGAGCTGGACGTCTCAGAAACAACCAACCTTCCAAAAGGGGAAAACTCATGAAACAAAAAGCCCATCTCCCCATGGCACTGAGCTCAGAGGTTCGGCACTAAACATCCGCTGGAAATCAGTCTGGAAAAACAATAAGCTCCTTTCGGAGGCGTTACTCCATGAGGGAGTTAACCAGCAATCCAGAAACCAGACTGTCATTAAGGCAGCGCTGGGAACAGCTGCATGGAAAGGAATGCTCTTCAGAGGCTGCCCGACCTCCACTCAGACAGGAGCTTGCTTTAATAGCGACAGTGCTCGCATGACGTCTTACAGCAGCCCAAGGGGCTGAACGGGGAGAAATTTATAATCATAAAAGCTGGGGATAGGCCAGGACTGAATTCTCCTTTCATATGTATCCATGTAAAACTGGAATAACTGATTTGTCTGAGGCCAGCAAAGCTGCTCGGGTTTTGCACTAGCTTCATAGCACAGAAATGATAATTAGTAGGCATTGCCCTGGCAGAACATTATATTTCTATGATTATTATTCAACATGCATTGCAGCAGCGCTGAAATGATGTGACTACATTAGGGCTCCATGGTGCTAGGTCTTGAGAGACATGAGATGCAATCCCTGTCCCACACATTGGCCATCTCCACAGAGAGGATCAACAAGAAGGCAGGATCACTAGCTCCATCCTACAGAAAGTAAACACAGAGGAACTGAGGCAAAGGGTTCTTCCTCCTGATTGCAGGCATGTAAAGGCAATGTGTGAACTAGGGGACTAACATCTTGAATTTCAACGTGCCCTGTTGCTTCTTTTCTATAAAAGAAGACCAGCGAGACCAGACTTCTAATATAGGGGCTTGAGGTATAGAGAGGTAGGTAGGATCAATCAGGAATTTGCTCCTGAACAAATGGACAGCAGCAAATGCTAAAGGTGGCAAATGAATCCAGGTCTTCAGGCTTATTATGCAGTGAGATTCAGATTTTCATTCCTCTGATACTCTCTTTGAACACCCCAAGCAATGGAGATGCAGAATTCGACTCTTCTGCCAACCTTTTCAAGTTCAGCCTGGTTCTTTGATTCAAAGCCCATACAACTCCTCCTTCATCTCTTTCTGTCAATCCTCAAGTCTTATCAGTAAGGCAATTCAAGTGTCTCACTTGAGTATTTATCTTGTGGGAATTGAACAACTTTTCCAGTTACAAAGCATCTGTTTTGCCCAGCCAAAGTCAGCAGGTTTGGCCAAAGCAGTGCTGACTTTAAGAACTGCCTTGCCATTTCCCATAGAAGTGTGTAATTCTGTATGCAAACCTTAGTTAGGAGGTTTGGTTGTATCTGCAATCACCTCAAAGTGGTCTGTGAACACTTCGCTGATGAAACAGGATGAAATGGGCAAATCATTTTGGAGGGGAAATGATTTTTTGGTGAAGTCGTAAGGGACAGAAACTGTTCACGTCCAACAATTGGGTTATTTGTTGTGAATCATTTCCTTGGCTCAACTCCTCCAAAAAAATAAAGGTGGGGCTTCCAGAGGCACCCATCTGTGATCTAACTCCTGTCCCACTGTCATCTATAAAACTCCCACTAATTTTAGCAGAGGCAGTGCTGAAAAGCTTTGAAGAAACACCCTAAATAAATGCTGCCTCGCTGCTTTATTGCACTGGCCAGATGGAGACATCTTCCGTGGCTTTTACATCACAATTTGATTGCTCAGTGGAGAAAATAGACTTTTTCCTTTCCCTCCCTGCCCTCCTACCTTGCTTTATGGCGCTTCCTCCTGATTTTTCAGTCCTCAAGTAATTATACTCCTACAAAAGCTGTTTCACTTCAAAAAATGTTGGAGCATGTAGCATTTAGCTCTAATTCTCTGGCCTCATCATAACACAATCATCCCTAGCACACCTTAATGAAGAAAGGAAATGCTTTTACCTCCATTTTACAGATGAAGAGGAGGCAGCTCACAGCTTCTCTCTTAAGGGCTTAATATGGCATACTCTAGCATGGGGCAGAGAGCAGCAATAAGGAGGTTCAGCAAAACTTGTTCTTTGAGTACTAGGCAGTTTGCACAAAGTCTGCTTCAGCACATTTACATTTAGGGAATCGCTCCTGTATTTTTAACTCTTTTCAGTAGATCTGGGCCTCCAGAAACACAGAAAACCCCCAACTCCAGCCAGTTGTGGGTCCTGTTTTGAAGCAGTGTTTACCAGAAGCCTTAGGGGAAAGTGCACAGCCCTCGAACTGCAAAGCTTTGGGATAATTTGCACATGACACATCAGTTAATGTTTGGTTTAATCTCCATAGCAAATCTATGAATTTTTATCACACAGCTACAGATGGTTTTATTATCTGTAAGACTATCTAATCTTCTTAAGAGTCCTGCTCAGTTCTTCACCTCCCTGATAGCACCAGTAACTCCATCTAAGTTAAAATTAAATTTCCAAGCCACTTTTTACTCCTCCTTTCCTTGCTTGCTCTCTCTGCTTGCCTTTCTATGTTCTTTCTTCCTCACCCTTGCTGCTATTTATCCTGCAGGAAGACCTCTAGGAGTTTAATACAGCTTCTCAGTGTGTCGCGCTAGGGCTGGGCTATGTCAAGGCAATACTTACTTTCCCTGAGGTAACTGAGGTGAGACAACAGAACTTCTGTGTTGTAGAGGGAGGTGGTTCGAAGGAAGTCATCCTTGTTCATTTTGCAGAGCTCCTTGCCATCCATATTCTGAAAGATGGTGGTGTCAATCTCCATTAATCCATATTCCTTTATAGCCCATTCCAGCCACTGGCGCACGTGTTCCTGGGTCCATAGGGTGGGATCTGGCAGGAAAGTACAAAGGGTAGTAATGCTATATGCAAGCCTCAAGCCTCTAGCACTCACTGTAGCCCAGTGAAGGCATTAACCATTGTTTCCACAACCAAATGTATTTAATTTACTGATTCCAATGCATTTTGCCAAGATGAACAAGTACTGTGCTATAATAAGACTTAAGGCACTTAAACTGATCACATTGGTGAGTTCTTTTGATTGACTTCCACCTGCCTGACTCTCATACCTAAGCTTGGGAACAATATTAGTGACATTTGACTGTGACTTTTCTCACTCTGGAATAAAGCTTCCAAAAGCAAACTCATCCCTGTGAAAGGGTATGTCACAGCTTTGGTTCTGCAATGCTATAGAATGACATCAGTGCTGTATAAGTCACACCATCCTTCACAAGCACATTACAAAGTCCCGACAGATGGCATTTAAAAGTCTGAGGATGGTGGTATTTATGGTCAGCAAAGAGACTCTGAAAAAGGAAGAATATTATTGCTTAAACAGAACAGCTTGCCATGTATCTCTGAGTCACAAATGTTCACCCCGCTGACAAGAACACAGTCCTACCTCCGCTAGCCCTGGAAAACCTATTGGAGGGCAATGTGGATTTTATACTGTCTCATGCATCATTATCAACTGTCAGCAAAGCTCCAGCTGTGGAATCTTTATTAGTGGCGGTGACGTACGAGAGAGATTGAACCCGGCTGGAGTTTCAGACCCCATGGTGACGGTTTGCTGCATCAGTGGTTAAAAAAAGAACTCATCCTTTGGGTTTTGCAAAGAGCATCAGATCAGAAAGTCCCAGCGAGAATTTGTGCCACGATACCATTTTACAGAGTCATTTTCAGAGCGTATCTACACTTTCAGATGTTTCCTGTGCTGCTTCTCCTCATGGATCCCATCTCAAAACTTAAGCTGCAAATTCATGTTCTGTTGCAGCTGGAGAGGACTGCAAAGGCACACTTCAACTTTGGAGATGTTTGATCTGTCCATCACAGCTGGTACATTCCTCTCACATAAACCTCCAACACCTCAGGTCCTGAGGCAGTTGAGACAACAGAGCAGAAACATGTACCTGGGAGACTGTGCTTTGGGGAGGGACAAGAAATGCCTCTGCCACACATCTTACAGTATATAAAGCAGTTCCTTTGCCCAGGACTGTAAACTGCGTGTGCTTGGGCTGCAGGGATCCCTTGACAGAAAAGATCAGGTAGTGGCTATACCTGGTGCATTCCTGAGCACCTGAGTTCTGGAATAACAGCCTGAAATGGAGAGTAAGACCAAGGAATATTGAAATTAGAACCCTGACATTTCCTGGGCTGCTTAATGCTAAATTCTAACCATGGCAGTTATAACCCCACACCTTTGCTTTGGGAAAGAAAGATGGATTTCCTCCATGTTTTGGCAATGGCTGATTTGAATTCTGCTTTCGAAGCACTGGCAAAAGACTGCAAATTTTACAATGCAAGTATTCAAGGGGGATTCTTTTTTTATTTATTTATTTTTTTTAATTGAAAGAGTTATTTGTCTTCAGTTTTGAAAAGAAAAAAAACCCTCAGCATTTGGATGGCAAAATGAATCTGTGGTCTCGCTTTAAGCAAACACTTTTGAACTGCAGCTATTTGTTCAGCCTGTTTATCACTGCAAAAGACACTGAACAGTCTCTGAAAAGCTGCCTTCTTGAAACATGGCTTAGAGTTCATTATTATTACTATTGCAAGCCTAATGTGACATTATTCTTGCCTATCTTCACCCTAATGCACTATAAATCTTTACTCTGGATTATATTAAAATTTCCCAATGCCTTTCTTGGATGAATTTGGCCTCATATCCTGCAGCCAGAGATCTGGGATCACGCTCATTATTGTCTTCCAAAGTCTGGTAAATCACTGCTGTTTCACAAGGATCTCAAAGTTTTGATTTGTATATGCCCATGGGGAGAGAAAACCTCCTTTTTTTGCTTTCCTTCAAGGAAGGGATTTTAAACTCTTTCTTCCACTGAGGGCACTAAAAGGAATTTCTCCTATTTCAACAACAGTGCTAAATATTATCTCACCCTTGGTCTTTTCAAACATGCATAAATAGCATGCTAAAGAGCAGGATGGAAGTTCCCTCTTGAACATCCTTAATAATATAATGACTAGTTGGTATCAGCTAACACCTTTCTAGGCAACGTGATGCTGAAAACACATCTCATACTGTCACCAATTTGGTTAGCCAGTCCCTCTAAGCAGATCCTAACAACAGCTTAAATGCCACTTTGAGATTTCCTGTCAATCTTTTACTGCCTTCTCTTCACTACATTCAGTTCAAGCTTTTCCTTTTCATCCTAAATGGCAACCAAATGCTTGGGAATTGTCATCTGTTCGTGGTCAAGCCATGATCAGAAAACAGAGCTAAATTCCACGAGTACATTTCTTTCTGCCAACATCTGTTTGAATCAGCTACAATCCTTGGTGAAACCCTCACAACACTGGGTGAGAAAAGCTGCACCCCATGAAAGCAGTGGATGTTCTGGTACAGGGCTTGGCTTACAGCATCTCCCTCGCTGTAAAGTTCCTGGGCTAGCCTGATTCTATCTCTGGTGTTTATAACCTTTGCAGGGAAAAGAATCCCTCTTGTTCCAGGCTCAGACTTCACCACTTGCCTGCCACAGCAGCTCTCATCCTCAACTATCCAAATGCATCAAATGCATCCTGCCAATTGCAGACAGCAGATGCGGATGTAACATACAAACAGAGAGCTGCACAGGAATGTTTCTGTGGAACAAGTTTTGGAAGGATAATGCAGCTCCTGCTATATATGTTTTTTCTGTTTTTCTCCTTCTAACAAAAAAAGCAAACAAAAGAGCTCCTTTTGAATCAATGTGACATGAAAGTGCATCTGGATCCTGCAGAGCACCATGGGAGTTAGAATTTGGGTCCGCTTCATGCTTATTCTTGCCTCTTTGATCATACTACACATGTCCTAGGAAGCAGATTCTCCTCTAACACATGACAGGAGTTGGATTTGGTTCAACACACCAAAACAACACTTCAGCCCAGGAAAAAAGAAAAAGAAGGAAAAAGAAGCAGCACTAATCATCCACTTCTTATTCCAATTTAATGTAGAGCATATACTGGGACACAGGAAAATTCCCATCCCTGGCAGTGTTCAAGGCCAGGTTGGACGGGGCTTGGAGCAACCTGCTCTAGTGGAAGGTGTCCCTGCCTGTGGCAGGGGCTGGAGCTGGATGAACCCAAACCAGGCTGGGATTCTGTGATTCCTACTAGCCAGAAACTCTTGCATTTTCCTTACTTTTTACATGGTTTGTAAGAAAGAGCATTCCTCAGAGAGTGGATAAACAAGCCCTATCTGTTCAGCTGGATATTGCAATGAAATATGACACAAAGACTTCGATGGTGGTGGTACCTGCTGGGACAATGACTCTCCTCTCGTTGGTGGTCATGTTGGGAGGAGGCCCGTTCTTCTCGTCCATGTAGGTGCTGTAACTCATGGGGTTGGACTCTGTCCCTGCTCCGATGAGCTTGCTGCATTTGTTCACACTACAGTCTACGGGGGACTCCCTGAAATGCAAAAGGAAACAGACGACCCATCATTATTACGCCCCTTTCATCCCTGCTGTAGCAGAAGGAAGTTTGGGTTATGGAAATGGCAAGTTCCTGGTCTATCGGTTACGTCCTCACTCCCCCTTCATTCTTTATTGCTCAGCTTCATTTTAGCATCCGTTTAGATACACCCTGATGCTCCTAGGAACTCTTGTTGGACCATATTGCTTTTGCATTGTGTTAAAAACAGCCCTGCACACCTTCTTTCTGCAGAGCCTATGAAGTGACAGGAAGGCTGTTACTTCCCACCTCATGACACATATGCTAATCATAGATAAAGATACCCCCTCCCTTTATTTTGTTAATGAAGACCACAAAACACCCCCACCAAAATGACAGGGTCGTTGCAGGAGAATACAATCATATTAGCATGGTAACTCAAGAGTCATTTATCCAGGGCTGAATCTTGTCTGTTCTGAGCAGTGAAACAGTCCCAGGCTTGTCTGCTACTTGGATAGGAAATCCACAAAGCTTAGGTGCCTTAGGCATGAGTCAGGGACTTCAGACCACAGAAGCGGTGTGCAAAAAGGACTCTGGCCCTAGTTTTACTTCTGAGGTGATGGAGTGGTGAGGAGGGAACATTTAGCAACTCAGGTGGCACTGTGCTAAGACCTGGACTACACGCAGCCCCTTGGCAAGCAGGAGGCTTTCTCTGTCCTGCTCTGGGAGAATTACGAGCCTCCAAACCACAGAAAGGGAGCACAGATTTTGTTTTTCTCCAGCTGCAGTACTAAGTCATGCTTTTAGCTCTAGAGATCACTTAGAACACCAGTCTCCAGCCTGCCACATGCACACAGCACGTTAAGAAGGCACCAGGGAAGGGCAGCGTTATTGCCCTCACCTTTACAAGGGTGCATTAGTGTGCAACCCTGAGGCAAAGCGAGCCCAGATCCAGTGCAGTTGAGTCCACCTCTTGAATGGCACAGCCACCCTTCTTCTCTGCCAGCAGCAAAGTGGCTTGGGGGGGAAAGCATTTGTTGAAGGGTAAGAACTACAACCAAATCCCACCCTCTGAGTTCAGCTGGCAAAACATCCACGGTTGGACACTCAACAAATTTGTTTCTTAATCTGAATTGGGGGGAGGGAGAGGGAGAAATTACCGAGATTCAGTTATCATGGCTGGGAGATAAATGCTCCACCGAGATATTCTGAGGCAGATGGTAATTTTTTCCTCATGTCTTACTGAGGGAATGTTGCTTGAAAATGGAAATAAGATGTATAACTTACACATGTTCGAATTTAAGGTTTTACTATTTCGCCTACTGTTTTTCCAGGCAGGGAACCAAAATCCGCCTTCAGAGAGGCAAACTGCTGAAGTTTTAATGTCCCCGTGGCAGCCAGAGGAGAGTCTGAGCAACTGCAGGGACACCGGGGTTTTCACAGGGAATGTGATCATTTCTAGCTCTCTGCTCAAATACTCCGTGTCAGGTGTTAAATGCTGCCTGTACTGGCAAAGAAAACGCCCTGGAGCAGCACAGAGGATCTTATTCTTTCCCGAGGTACAGCCTGTCCTGAGAAGACTCAGTGAAACGGCGAGAGCATCCGTGCTTTGAGGTGTCAGACTGTTGGGCTTAGTGCTCGCTGTGCCTGGGAGGTGACCAACCTCCTCGCCTGGCCTCCCTGGAGACCAGCTGTGACATTAAATGGTGTGGGCAGACCTGAACACACACACACAGCCCCGCATATGGATTCCCACCTGCCTTTGGGATGAAGTTTTCCCTCCTTTGGACACAACAGTAGGCACTTGGCAGCGCCGGCACAATGACCTGCTGCTGCCTCAGGTCCTTCTTTTGGGGTTCACTCTCACCACCCTGCTCTGTAGTTGATTTCCCTGGAAAATAACCCTCGCTGTTGAGATATGCAGTATTTACTCCCCACTACAGTCCTGCATTCACCTCAGGGGCCAACACAAGAAGGATGTGGAGCTGTTGGGTCGAGTTCAGAGGATGCCACGGAGCTGCTGCGAGGGCTGGAGCAGCTCTGCTCTGGAGCCAGGCTGAGAGAGCTGGGCTGGGGCAGCTGGAGAAGAGAAGGCTCCTGAAGGGGACACCTTAGAGCAGCTCCAGTGCCTAAAGGGGCTCCAGGAGACCTGGAGAGGGGCTTTGGACAAGGGATGTAGGGACAGGACAAGGGGAATGGCTTTAGCCTGCCAGAGGGGAGACTGAGATGAGCTCTGAGGCAGAAGCTCTTCCCTGTGAGGGTGCTGAGGCGCTGGCACAGGGTGCCCAGAGAAGCTGTGGCTGCCCCATCCCTGGCAGTGTTCAAGGCCACATAATGCTCATGCCAAACTATAGGATATATCCAGACTCTCAGATAATTACATCTTCTGCAAAGCCTATCTGCCTAGGAGTATGCATGATTTCCAGTGGCATGAAATGATACACATGCAAAGCCCACAGGGACCTTGGCTGTTTCTGCTCTCTCTGCACATGACTGATACAGCAGAGTCACAGAAATAACACCAACACTGTAAGATATCTCCTCAGTGGTTTTGTGATGGTTTTTCATTCTGCAGACTCTTGGCTTGGCAGTTAGGACCCTGCCCATCCTCTGCCTTGCTCTGTAAGTCTCAGCAGCCAAAATCGGACAAAAAAGTATCAAAGACAGATCTGAAAAGAAGTTTTAGGGACTGAGGGGCCCTTAGCAGACCCTGATGCACTACTGTGGCAAGAGAAGCCACTCAGTTAATCATAAAGGACATTAAATGTGCTCCAGGTACCAGATTAATCCTTGCCTTTTCACACTTGGATTTCAAGTGACTGTACACGCTGGACTTCCTCAGGTACTTGGCAGAAAACGTAGGTGGATAAATAATAAATAAGATAAATGGATATAAGCTGCTTTCACAAGATCTCTTAAGTATATTCACTGTGGCAGTGACAGAGTCCAAGGAACATGAAGCAGGACTCATTCCTACTGTCCTTCCAAAGACTCTTCATTCCAGCAGCTCCAGTAACAGTCTCTGGGGATGCCAAGAGCTTGGTGTTTTGAGAAAGTTTACTCTAGACTGGCCAAAATGGACAAGCAGCTAGCCTGGCACTGACTAATAAATCCTCTGTAAAGCTCCAGCCCTGTTCCAGATACCTGGAAAGAAAACAATCACTGTCCTAGACAGGGCTTCTGTCTAGGAATCACCTTTAGCTTTCATTCAAAGGAGCAAAATAAGGGATGCCAGTGATTTCTGAACCAGCCTCAGCTGTGGTCAGTGTGATATTTCCTCCCTCTCTCTATCCCTTTCTTCCTATCCTTTCATCCCTCCTGCCTTTCCACCTTTTATTCTTTTTAAAGTTGCCACTTTCAGTGTAAGGCCCCATTTGGCCACCTCAGCTTTAATCTTTACCCTTGAAATTAGATTTTAATGTTGGGGTTTTTTTCCAGTGAAGGAAGTAAGAACAGACATACTGTGATACTGCCTGTGGTTCCCTCTTACATGCAGGGAACGGAGCCATCAGGGCAGAACCACAGCTCCTCGAAACTTGCATCTAACCACGCTTTAACCTGCTTCTCATCCCACTCTGGGAATGCCTCAGGAGAAGGTTCACACTGAAAACCACTAAGTCTACACAAAGAAGGGTGGAAAGGATGGGAAAAGACAGACAGGTCAAGTCAAGCTGCATGAGGAAAGCACAGAGGCTCAGTCAGGTCTAAAGGAATCATGCTTATCACATGCAGGTAAACGCAAACAGGCTGCTGGGGACTGGAACAACCCGGCGGATCCCACTAGAGGGCTCACATGCTGCTTAAAGGGGATTTTTGTTATCGACATCATAGATGGTCCCTTTGTTTTGTTTTGAGCACATTCTTGGAGCATAAAAACGTTTCCGACATCCCTGAACCTGAGAATTATTTTAACCTTCTGAAGCAAGAGAATGTCTCCAAAGAATCTGCAAACTTTAATCAGGGGGTTTCTAACTATTAATCGGAATTTAAAATGGGAACAATTTTTTGATTTTAAAAATAGAAATTATTGTATTTCTATCACAAAAGCATCTAAAGTGCCCAAGAGAAATCCAGGCCTAGTCTGTTGGGAACTGTACAGTGTAGGAGACAGATCTTTCCCTGAATGGGCTATAAAATAGAGACACAAACCCAGCAAAGAATAAGGATTGCACACCACGTTTCCAGTTCCCGAATGGATGCACGGAGAGATAGATGGTATCTGAACCCATGGAAAAGATGGACTTCTACTTTTAGTTTGCTACAAATACAAGACCATTTCCCTTTCCCAATGACTAAGGGCATGAAAGAAGCACAAAGACTTTAATTCTTCAACGTTGGATTTTAACTGTCTTGTGTTTGGACACTGATCATTCTGAAACACAAGTGCAGCACTGAGTTTTGTTCTGAGCAAGTGGCTGTCTCTAAAGGCAAGAGCAGATTTTGAGGCCACACACTGCAAGTCCCATCTTCTGCCCTAAAACATAGACCCCTGCCACTGCCTGAACATCCCATGTACACAGCCAGTATGCAGCTATCTGGAATATTCTTTCCAATTTTGGAGTAAACCAGGAAAACCTGACATGGGGTACAAAGCTGGCCAGGGTTTCCATGTTGTTTAGCACTAGCAGGTTTTGTTTAGCCTTCAAAACAGGCTTGGAGAGGTTCTTCAAAGACTCCTTCTCTCACTTTTCTGAGGACCAAACCAACTCATCACACTATACCTCATGGCAGTCAGACCTGCTTCTAGTTGCTAAGAAGAAGAGAAGCTGGACACTGTCCCTTGCTCCCTCCACTGTCCGCTTTCCTACAGCTTTATCACTCCCTAGAGTACATAAACCACTCTCTCAACAAGCAGAAAATGCTTCAAATACAGGTGAAACACAGAATAAAGGCTGCTCCCTCTAATGAGGCAGCTGGAACCCGCTAAGAGAGCGTGCTTGAAAAACAAGAGAGAGGAGAGGCAGAAAGAGAGGGAGGGAGAAGAGGTTTTGTTATTCAGTCTGCACTTGGAGTTCATTTGTATTGAGGTTGGCATTTGCCTCTCAGATGGTTTTGCCAGGCAGCTGATAGGCAGAGGGACAAGCAACTGGAGTGGTCCAACCCCTAACAATGAACTGCGATGGACATGAGGGAAAAGGGAAAAGTTTTAGCCATGAAGAGGAGAGGATGGATAAGTCAGATGAATGTTCTCATTTCTTGGGTGGATTGGAATTCTTGTGCCAACAAGTTATCAAAAGGCAAGGTTAGAAACTATTTCAGTGCTTGCTTCTGACATTCAAAACAGTCTTTTTCTACTAGGTTGAGAAGTTGTTGCCCCTCTTTTACAGAGACTGAGGACACTTGGTTTCTGCCTAAGAATCTTGCAGTCGTGAGTAAGCCCATAAAGAAGGATTTCCTTTCTGAAAACTTCCTTTTCTTTCTAAACACACTTCTGGAAGGCCTTTCTCCATAGGCATCAGAGCATTTACAGTTGTTAATGGAGCAGTTTGTCCAAGTGGTATTATTTCCCTTTCTTTCTGGGCAGATGAGGAAATTGTAACACAAAGACCACAATGGAAGGACAGCCTGTGTTATCTAGGGATAGTGTTTTTCCAGAAAGAACTAATTTTCCCATCTTTCAGCCTCAATCCTAAGCTTGGAAACACTAGTGCAACAATCCATGTAGCTCTTATGAAGTCCAGAAGTAACCCCGAGGCACAACCAGGGCAAGACCAAATTCAGACCATGAACACCATCAAAGACCAACTGCCACAAAGACCTTTATCTTGTAGTAAAATCAGCATCTACTGTATACTTACTAGGGAAAAAAACATGCCGCTGTTTGAAGTCTTTAACACCAGCATCTCACCATAGAAGTCTGAAAGTGCAAGGCTGCTTTCTGTTTCAAACTCTGCACTTTGCTGGGTTCTCAGAAACAAGAAAAATAGGCTGTTGCAGAAGCCCTAAGCGAAACTTAAAGCAGAAAAGCCCTCAATTGTTTAACTGTCCTTGTACAAATGTTAGAGGTGTTTGTGACTTTGAAGTTAAAATCAAATTTAAAAATAAAAGGAACTCTAAAACTAATGCTAAAAAAGAAATTTCTGCACCTAAAATTCTGTCCAAGAAGGTGACTTTTTTTTCCTAGGCTTTGGACATGTAAAAATATTTCTAGAAGAGACAATCTGACCTGTGATAATAAAATGTTTTAAAGTCTTTATCAGATGATCCATCTCCCTCAGCACTAACTACAAATGATGGGGAGCAGACCTCCTACATCTTTGGCTGTAGAGGATACACCATAACTGGTGTGCCCTTGATGCTCATATCTCCTCCTGAACTCTCTTGTTTCACCACTGGTCACACATATTCACACAGAAGACATGGGTATTGTGCCTTTTGTTTTGTTACACCTCATAGGCTGCCATGAAGGACCTTGGTCTCCTCTTTTTCCCTTTCTCCATCATATAGCTCTCCAGTTTCCTATGGTTGCTTCTGCCTTAGTGGAGCACAAATCTAGTCAGAGATGCAATAAAGAGTGCCCTTTCGCTAGCTTCACCCTGAAGTACTGCTATAAACGCCACCTATTAGTGCGTGACTCCATCTCCATGGAGCATTTGTGGGATGCTGAACTAAGTGCTGAAATGCGTAGTTTACAGCAGTGTCTGCAGCATGAACTCTGTCCTGTCCCAGTCTGTGCAGCATTCATGGAGACTGGCAGGGCTGCATGCTGCAGAACTGCGAGAGCAAGACCTGCAGGCCATTAAAACATGAGTGACATTCCCAGGGATGTGGTCCTACACAAAGAGCGGAGTGTTGACACGCAGGACAAGAGCACGAGTGGACGATTCCGGCTTTGC